AAAACCCAGGCCACCAGGAACAGACATCCATGTGGGGGTAGGAAAGAGGATCACACCATCTTCACTTCAAGTTCATGAGACTGGAGAGAATGTTGTACCCCCCAACCTATGAACAGGACACATGCTTACAATGTAATAAATTGATCGATTGATCCCAAACTCCACAAGAAGAAAAGGGAAAGTAGAAAGCTCTGTGAAGAGTCTGGAGAAACAATAACACCCGAGACAGTGCAATGGGTGACCATGAAACCCTATTTTAAAAGCAAACCATATCGATTGATTCAATACGAGGCATGGCAGGGATGGACAGCAATCCCCCTCTGCTTTTCCCATGTAGTCCATGAGTGAGTACGGTCCAAGTGATCTTGTGGAACACCTCATCTCAGCAATGTGTGTTTAATGGGCATGGAATTATAATTGTTAAGTCATCATGGCCTTACAATGCAGATTGACTAGTTTAAGTACACCTGGACAAACATCACTCACTACAGAGTGAGATCCATAAAAAAAAAAGAGGGACATGTCCCTGAAAAATAAAGAGGCATAGATACTAAAAGGTAACTTACTGAGTCACAGGCTCAAGAAAGAGTGAAAGGTAGCAACAGGTTTATGACGGTACCCCGACAAGGAAGAAACAGCTACCCAAAGCAGATAATGGGAGATGAATGTATGAGGTGTAGCCCCAGTGCTCGAAAGATGAAGTACCTCCAACGAACTACAAGGTTGATATGCAGGGAAAAGGGAAGGTGCATGATCAGAGTAAAGACACCATGAATTGATGATAGGAAGAAGGAGACAAGGAATAAAAGGCCAATCAAACACAATGGGTCAGGGAGAAAGGAAAAAAAAATATTACAGACAAAGCAGTGGAGTAAGGGAAGGAAAGCATGGGAAATGGGTTCATCCATGTCACTTTGGTTCAGGTCTTTCTGATTGACCTTTCCTGGCTGGCGCACATCTGGGTTTCTCAGCTGTTTCGGCTCGATTTGTTTCCTTTGTACTGGATCATTTTTCTTCACCTACATTTTCTGGCTCATGTGGTATATTCCTCTTGACTTTTTCATTTCTTATCATCTTCCACATTTCTTCTCGGTCAGTTCCAGATGACTTGTCTGTCCAGTACATGCAGTGGGTTGCTTCATTGTTCTCAAGGTTTTTTTTTTCAGTTGAAAAAACATTTTGGGAAACAAACTGATGGAAGGAAAAAAAACTAATGTTATAAACTGGATGTAATCCTGTTTGAATGTATCAACAGCCAGGGCAAGTGGATGAAGAACTAGAGACCATAAACAAAAGAGGTAACTATCTGGGAATTGAAAAGAAATTCAAAAACTTCACATGGAGGAGTACCCAACAGGTGGAGCCACCACAAATTTGGAGGATCGAGAGGTCACTGTTTAGGAGAAAGTATGATGGGATGGGAAAGTCAATCAGCAACAAGGACAAAAGCACCTGGAATACGACCCTCAAGGAGACATATGTCAAGTGTGTGGGTTCAAAAAGGGAGATCCACAGTTTACCACAAAAGGAACAAGAATGAGTGTCCACTTAGCGAGTGATAGAAGCCACCACTGTCAAATAGTCAAAAAGAAACATGAGTAGTCAAATCCAAACAAAAGGAAGAGGTGGAACAAAAGTACATTGGACTGATGGAAGTGCCAGGGTGTGAAGGTGATAAGACATTTTGCCTGTAGACTATTGTCCTGAAGCCTCCTACTGATCATACC